TACTTCATTGAATGGAGACATTCTGAGTTATTATGCTTCGGAAGTATGTAAACATATGTATAGTCTTCAGGTATGTGTCACTGTTCTAATAGGTGGGTACAGTCAGAATTCGGTGGTGGTCATGAAGCTTCCTTGTCTTCTTTAAACTTTTATGGTTAGCCAGTAGTCACCAGTCATTTCATCATAATTCTGAAGGCAGTGTTCACTGTGTGACACATGGACACAATAATTGGCAAACAGCAATTTCTGTAGCATAACTTTTGATACCTTGATTGAGATTTCAGTTATCTCCGGTTGAAGACTTTGCCATCTATTCTGAATTGGGTGTATATTCCATCACCATTTTCGTCAAATGCCCCAGAAAGCATGACAGTCCAGAACCAGATGTTACATTCTGAGGACACTGGGTAGGCCATTTAGGACTGAGATTAGAAGAAATTAGGAGAGCATGTGGAATTATCTGGCACATGAAGTGATTGAGACCAATACATTGAATATTTTTTAAGAAAGAGATAGAGCTAAAGGCCTCAAAGGGTATGGGGAGAAAGTGGGAACAGGGTACAGAGTTGGATGATCAACCATTATCATATTGAATGACCTACTCCTGTTTCTATTTTCTGTGTTTGTATGACAGCAACTATACTGAAGAGCATAGGGGCAATGACACACTCCTGCCTCTCTCAACTTGTTGGGTTAAAGGAACCTTTGTATTCACTACTGTCACTGACACTGCTCGTTATTCCATTGTGAGGCTGCTGTCCCAGATTTGCAGCTGTATCAGGAAATCCGATTTTTGAAGACTTTCCACACAGTATCTGTGTTTACTGTGTCAAAGGCCAACATCAAATCAACAAGGGCACAGTGGAGCCCTTATTTGTTCGTGGCATTTCCTTGCTATTTGCCAAAGTCTGTGTTCCTCTACCTTTTCTGAACCCACTTTGAGTTTCTGCAGGACATGTTCTACTCTGTGGCTTATCTTCTGTTGAATAAAATGTTTGCTAGAATCATAACAAAATTCTAGTAAATACATTGAGAAGTGCTTTCATATTATCCTCAAAATTCTGCTTTATGGACTGAGTTAAAGGCAATAGCAGTTTCCTGTATGTATTGTGTAAGTTATGTCAAGCCTGTGTGCATCACAGTAGCAGCCAAACTCAGAATTTGCCAAGTTGGGCAAACTTGGGAGTCTTTTCATAAATGGCAGGGTGATGGAACCCAATTCTTTTCTTTCCTTCCTGTCCTGATCCTCATTTTGGCAATTGCAAGGAGCATGACCTCCATTGCTGGTTCCATTGCAAGGCTGGGCAATTTCTTCCACTAACTGTGATTCACAGTCTGTCAGAGGAGACTTGAATCACAGAGAAGCTCCAGTCCTGAGTTGGAAATGAGACAAAAATGTCACATGATCCTGGAATCCTTCCTTGAACAGGCTGTGAAATACAAAAAAAAAATTAGTTTGCATAGTTAGATGCTGTGTTGTATTTATGATGCTCTGATATAGGGCTCTGGCCTGCAAAGGTAGGTTGACCATCATGTTTCACCAACGTTTTAGAAGTGTTGACATGTCCTAGAATACTTTTCACATTGGGAAATTTGCTGTTTGAACTGTGCGTTTTTCAGTCTTGAATTAATAAGATGTTCTGAGATTTAGCATAATGGATATTAGATGAGTTACTATTGAGGATACCAGTAGAGTATGGAGGGATATGCAAGTATTCTGAGGGTTTGAGGGGATAGAATGTTAAGGGGGACGGTGTGGAGGAGGTGTGTGGAGTGTTGGGTGTAGAAGGCTTGATGGTCTGATGTTCACAATTAAATTGGATCATTGTCCCAGTAAGCAAGGGCAGGCATCATAGTCTTAGGTCTGCTCCCTGAGCTTTGGACTGGACTCCCATTTCTCAATTTAAAAACTGAAAGAACTGCGGATGCTGTAAATCAGGAACAAAAATAGAAGCTGCTGGAAAAGCTCAGCAGTTCTGGCAGCATCTGTGAAGAAAAAATCAGAGTTAATGTTTTGGGTTCGGTGACCCTTCCCCAGAACTGATGGTGGCTGGGAAAATGTCGGTTTATATACAGAAAATGGGGAGGTGGATGGGGTAGACAGTAAACGATAGGATAAAGGATAGAGCCCAAAGAGAGAGAAGAGCAGTTGGATAGACAAAGAAGCTGATAAAGGAGCAGTCTATCCAACTGCTCTTCTCTCTCTCTCTTTTAGGCTCTATCCTTTATCCTATCACTTACTGTCTACCCCATCCACCTCCTTATTTTCTACATATAAACAGACGTTTTCCCAGCTACCATCAGTTCTGAGGAAAGGTCACCGGACCTGAAACGTTAACTCTGATTTTTTTTTTCTTCACAGGAACTGCCAAAGTCTGATTGGGTGCTGGCCACACTGCTACAAAAAAAGGGCATAGTTTCTATGAAAACCTTCTTTCCTGCTGGATTTGTGGATTCCTGAACAGGTTTATAACAGGAGGTTCCTGTCCAGAAATTTAGTGCAGAAAATAGTTAAATGTATATAGGTAATTTTTAATATGGTTAGAGTTGAAAATAAGGTTTCAACCCTAATCAGAATATCTGTGCCAATATATTTCTAAGCCTATTGATGTGTATGTTATCTGTGTATTAATGCCCCATTCAGAGGGGATTGTTGCTTTTTTATCGTCAGCTTGTTGATTGGATTCAGAAGTTTGAAGGGATTTCTATTGAATCTGAATGTGGAGACTCTGAGATGTTGCAAATCTGATTTAAAATAGTGTAGTTTCCCCACAAGGTGGTGCAAGTGAGTTTTCCATTTGATGCTGGGACTAGTGGAAACCTGATGCTGAATACATTTTCAACTGGTGTGTATTAAATTGTAAACACGAGTGTAGCTGAAACAATGGCAATATTGATTTCATTTTAAAACACAAATCAGAGGGCTTTGTGAGCCTGATCACCTATTCGAAAATTTTGAGTTGCCAGTAGCATGTTACATAAAACGTAGCAACATACAAGTAGTTCTTCTAAAACGCGATAGTCGCATTCTTGTGTGACCTCGCGCTATAGAAAATTGTGTTACAGGGAAATCGCGATAGAAAATTGCTATATCTGTACAGCAGAAAGTTTGCATTATCCAAACAGCATCCACTATTCATTAATCACGTTCCAGCCAACTCACGTTAACAAAACACGCGTTAAAGCAGACCTAGTACTTTACATGATGAAAATAAGTCAAAGTAAAGAAGAATCGGCAAGTGTGACCCAAAGCTTGATTAAATATGGTGAGATTTAAGACAATATAAAGGAGCTTCAAGACAATACCAAAGTGGAAGTGTTTAGGGAAGGATTTCTTGAGATTGGGACCTGCAGTTTAAGGACAGCTATCAATGGTAAAGTGAAGGAGGGGCAATGCCCATAAGTTTGGAATTAGAAGACTGAAAAATTGCAGGGCTGAAGGAAGTAACTGATGGAAAGGATGAGATCTGGCACATGTTTTCTTCTATAACTTTTATTTCATTCATGTGATGGAATTTATTGCCTATTCCTAATTCCCCTTGAGAAGGTGACTATGAACTGTATTCTTCGGACTGTGTGGTGAAGCTACTCCTGTTGTGCTGTTGGAAATGGAGTTTCAGGATATTGATCAGCACTCATGAAGAAATGACAACATAGTTCTAAGTCAGAATGGTGTGACTTTTGCAGGCAACAATGATCCTGTGCATCTGCTGCCCTTGTTCTTCTAGATTGCAGAGTTTGCAGGTTTGAGAGGTGTTATAAAGGAAACCTAAGCGAGTTGCTGCAGTACATTTGTAGACTTGGGATGGCAGTTATAGATGTGATAACAATCAAGCAGGCAGTTTTGTTCTGGACTGCTCAAGCTATTCAAGTGTTGTTCGACCTGCACTCACCCATGCAAGCATCATGCTGCTAGCTTGTAAGCACTGTTCTTGCTAGGTGGAGTTGAGAAATGAATCAATTGCCTCAAAATACTCAGCCTGCTCCAAATTGTCGATAGTAATTCCGTTGAATGTAATGAGAAGATGGTCATGACGGACATTTTGTGTTGAATAAATGACTCGCCATTGATCAGCTGAAGCTTGAATTTTATGCTGGTCCTATCACAAGTCTGCATCAACTGCTTTATTAACTGAGTTTTTGCAAATTGAACAAAACCATATGCAAAACAGCTCAAACATCCCAACTATTGATCTTTTTCTGATAGAGGAGACATCAGTGATGTAGACAAGTAAGATCATTGGTGCTAGGACATTTCCCTGAGTAATTCTTGCTGTACTATCCTGCAACAATGTCCTGGGTCAAATCAAATGATCGGGAGATGTATTGTCACCAATTGCCCTAACCATTTCTTTCTCTCACTCACACTCAACATCCAAACATGCCACAGAACAGCTCCGGCAGATATGTCCTCCAAGGCATAGCCAGATCAGTCTGAAGTGATGCTACTAAGACACTCTTTGTGATAGACATTGAAATCCCCAACCCTGACTGCATCCTGAACCCTTACTGTTTTGTTGCTTCTTCTGAGCATGGAAGAGTACTGATCATCAACTGAGGAGGTGAGGAGTGTGATTGGTGAGGTTTCCTTGATCAAAGTTTGACTTTATGTATGAGACATTGTGGGGTCAGTAGTCAATATTCAGGACTTCTAGCGCTATTTGCTCTCTACTGTGTGCACTGCCCCCCCTCCCACAAGTAGATCTAACCTATTGGTGGGACAGGACATGTCCAAGAATGTTGACGAAGGAATTTTGGATATGAATTGTGAGATTCCATATGACCATGTCAGGCTTTTACATTAGTAGTCTGTGGAAGAGATTCCCAATTTGGCCACAAGTGCCCAGATGTGCTGTTAGTTTGGAGCACCCTGCTGAATTTGCCTTTGTCATGTCCAGATCTGGTTCCTAGGTCATTGTCAGGTCATCTATCTAGTTTTTATTCAAATCCTTTTTTCACAGGGGCTTAAATTTACATTGTCGCTTCTAATATGGTGTTGAAAACGGTCCAGGAATAACATGTCTTTATTGTTTATGGTTTGTTCGGGTAACTGGAAAAAGATTTCATTGGGTTGCCTAGATTCATGATGGAATCCAAAAAGGTAAAATCTGTTGAGATTATCTGTGATAGCACAAAGGAAATGTTTCGTACAGCTGAGAAGAACCAGTTCTGTTAAGTCAAAAGAAGACCCAACAAATGCAACAAGAACAACAGAGTGAACAAAATAGGTGCAACCATTCACCAGCATTGTGTTGAAGGATGGCCAAACCACAAGTCCAGCAAGCCCAGTGAGTTGAGCAAGAATGTGAGCTTTGATCGCTGATAGCTATTTCAAAATCATAAATGACTTTAAGTGTGACTGAAAAATAGTTATTCTAGCTTCCATTTGGGAAATGGTCTTGGAAGGGATACAGGGACACTTGGGCATTATTTGTAACCAGATCTCATTTAGTAATGTGGTGCCAGAGATGTAGAGAGATTAATATTCCCATAACTCATTGTGAAATCCCAAATGAATATCCTGCAGCAGAGAAATAATTTACAGACCAATCAAGGTCAATTTCAGAATCAACACAAGTCAACAGTCTTCAAGTCAAAGCCTTTTGTAAAAGAAAAAGTACAAACACAAAGAGAATTGTGAAACCTCCAGACTTCCAGATTTGTGGTGAGGGGAGAAAGGCTTGAGGGATTTGTTGTTAATGATTCTGAAAGGTTTAATTTTTGAAACTGCGTTAAACTTTACCCAGTCGAATGATATCGTAAGAGTATTGTGTGGGGGGGAAAAAATGAAGTTGGCTTGAGATCATGGAGGTATTAGTGAGATCAGTATCTCCTTAATAATTTTAGTTTTAGTTATTATGTCTAACGAGCCATTGTATATATTACTATCATCCAATAACTCCATTTTCTTAAAACAAGAACCTCTTTTTAATGAAGGTACTGCTAGTTCATCTTCCACTGCTGTTACCCACGTAGGCCCTTAGACCTGGAAGAAGGAGTAAGGTGGCATAGTTGTAATGTCACTGGACTAGTAATCCAGGACCTTGGGTTAAATGTTCTGTATGGGTTTGAATCCCACCATGGCAGATGGTGAAACTTAAATTTGATAAAAACTAGAAGGAAGGATTACATGTGCAAACTTTCCTTAACATCTTTATTTTGGTACAAATGGCAGATAGTGGAATTTGAATTCAATAATTACAAAAAAAGTCTGGAATTCAGAATCTACGATCACCATGAAATCTTTGCTGATTGTCGGAAAAACCCATCTGGTTCACTAATGTTCTTCAGGGAAGGAAATCTGCCACCCTCACCTGGTCTGACTCCAGACCCACAGCAATGTGGTTGACTCTCAATTATCCTCTGAAATGGCCTAGCAAGCCACTCAGTTCTACCAATCGCTACAGAGTCTCAAAGAAATGAAACTGGATGGATCACCTGCCATCGACCTGGGCACCAGAAAAGACAACGGCAAAAACAGCACTGTCGACCCCCTAAAGTCCTCCTTACTAACATCTGGGGGCTAGTGCCAAAAGTGGGAGAGCTGTCTCACAGACTAGTCAAGTAACAGCCTGACATTGTCTATAAGGTATGATACTGTGAGTATGACTGTCCCAGACACCACCATCACCATCCCTGGATCTGTCTTGTCCCACCAGCAGGACAGACCCAGCAGAGGTGGCGGCACAGTGGCATACAGTCAGGAGGGAGTTGCTCTGGGAGTCCTCAGTATAGACTCCGGACCCCATAAAGGCTCAGGGTTTCAAGTTAAACATGGGCAAGGAAACCTCTTGCTGATTACCACGTACTGTCCTCCCTCAGCTGATGAATCAGTACTCCTCCATATTGAACAATACTTGGAGGATGACCGTATCGGTAAGAGTGACCATCGCACAGTCCTTGTGGAGATAAAGACCCGCCTTCACATTGAGAATAACTTCCATCGTGTCGTGTAGCACTACCACCATGCTAAATGGGACAGACTTCGAACAGATCGAGCAACTCAAACAGGGCATCCATGAGGCATTGTGGGCCATCAACAGTAGCAGAATTGTGCTCCAGTTCAATCTGTAACCTCATGGCCTGGTATATCACCCACTCAACCATTACCATCAAACCAGGGGATCAACTCTGGTTCAATGGAGAGTGTAGGAGGGCATGCCAGGAACAGCACCAGGCATATCTGAAGATGAGGTGTCAACCTGGTGAAGCCACCAAACAGGACTACTTGCATGCCAGACAGCGAAAGCAGCAAGTGATAGACAGAGCTAAGCGATCCCACAACCGATGGATCAGATTAAGCTCTGCAGTCCTGCCACATCCAGTTGTGAATGGTGGTTGACGATTAAACAACTCACTGGAGGAGGAGGCTCCACAAA